AGATATACAGTAGACCATATTGTTTTCCAAACGATTTGTGAAAGTGTTGTTTCACGATTAAATGTTGCTTTATTTAAACAGTTTTGTTCTTCATCAATATTCATATTTTCGATTATCCGGACCCTCGATTATCCGGACGATTTCGTCTAGTCCCAACGAGTCCGGATAATCGAGGTTCGACTGTATGTTAAAAGATGCTGAAAACAATAGGGTTAAGCTGTATACCCTAGAATTATTTCGCAGATTCGAATTTTTGACGGGATCAGCCACCCATTCCAAATAAAACCTTTGCCCGTGAAGGCGCGCTGGCCTCACGGCTAGTGCGCTTCACTCCAGATCGCGCGGTCCGAGTTCGAGCTCTGGCCGGGGACATTGTGTTTTGTTCTTGGGCAAGACACTTTACTCTCAAAGTGCCTTTCTCTCCCGGCGAATTTAACGCTAGGGGGTAACCTGCGTTGGACTAGCATCCCATCCGGAGGGGGGGGAGTAGAAATACTCCTGGTTGCTTCATGCTACAGAAACCGGAATAAGCTCCGACCTGATGGGCCACTTGGCTCGTATGCAGGCCTTACCTTTTTTACCTTCAACTATCCTAGAACAAACTGGGACTAGGTTCCGTTAATGACATGCACACGGGCCCTCGTGGAAAAACCTTTTTTCGAGTCAGTTCTCCATCACTCATTATCTTCTTTCAGCATGATGAGCAAAAGTCGAAAGAAAACTTTTTCTACGATTTCATTCCAAATGAAACCCTATTACTGAGTAGAAACTGAGAATTAAGGCATCTATCAGGCCCTCTTTTTGGCGAAAACAGCTCGAAAACTATATTCTGTTGTTACAGCACACATCTATATAAACCGTTTAATTTTTATAGGACAGTCTTTCAGAGAGGAGTACAGGGCATTATTTCTGATTCACCGTACGCCTTTGGCGACATTGCGATAAGTGCTGAAATAAAAGTTCTTTAGAATTTCGGGTTCGTTTCTGGTATCATTAAAGATCCTAAATTAAACAAAGCGCTCTTGCACAATGAAAGTTTCTCAAATAAAATGCGCGATGCACTTTATTTGGGTCGGGTAATAAACCAAGACGAGGCAGTGTCGTATCGCAAGGTTCGCTGATATGCAAGGAAAAAAAAACACGTTATATCTCGCGAATCCGAAGTCCTAGTATTTTGAAAAATCATTTTAACCTCGTCAAGAGTCGGTGATCTTGTTCATACCCTTAATAAACTGTTTGTCTCAATGTTGTCTCAGTTGACTCCAGATAACTCAGAACATGGCATTTAAAGTACTTTCACTCTCGGCTACCCGATCCTTCGATAACTCGAACCTCATTAGAGGCGGAAATTTTCGGTTCCAAAGACAACTATGTGATTTTGAAATAAATCACTACAAATGATTACGTAGAGCAAGAAAAGTGTTGTTTTGTGTAGCACATTTTATTGATTCAGTTTGTAAACTGAGAGAAAATGAAGGGTAAGTGGGGTAAGGGAGTTAACCCTCGGGGGGTTGGTTGGACTCGCACATAAAACGGACGGGGTTGCTAGTCGAAAATTTTCAAAAGAACCCCTAAGTGGTACCAAGATCCTGTTTCGTGGGCTTGAATTTTTTTCACTCCTAATAGGTGCCAATTGTAAAACAACATACTAACTCACACTGACTTTTTTCGGCTCAATACCCTAAAAGGTACGGCAAAAACTCCCGCTGTGGACCTTTTGAGGCTGAAGACCGTAAGAGCCACTCTCCCTAACCCCCGCGGCACAAGGTCGGAAAAATGGACCAGTTGATATTTCGTCCAGAGATAACCCATGGTATGCTAAGAATCGTGATATAAGTTTTAGGTTCTAGAGTTTTTACATTTTTGAGAAAAGCACGAAAAACCGTCGACAACCCGTGAAGCCAAAAAATCACAGAAATGATGTCAAATTTCACGATCAGATAATCGTACTCGCGTGAAGGCGCATAGCAAATTATGGTTTTCCTTTGTTTACAATTTTATTTAGGAGGTATTGCTAAGCTGCTTTGATGATATTTTAGACTTACAATTGTAATTCCGAATTCCTGGAGAGCAAGCGAGGAGAACCGAAGTTACTAGACTTTGAAAATCAAAAATTCCATACCGTTTTCAAACATCTCAAAACATACTCGGTATTATGTAGAATTCTTTCAAAATTCGATTCTGGCAAGTTCAAGAGCTGTTTTTGAAGGTGATATAATTTTTTTCTTGGCAAAAGTTATTTCTGAGGCGAGCGGCGCCATGCAAGTTGACCCAATTTGACCTTTCGAAGAGATTTTGTTTAATCAGGAAATGTAAACAATTCGACTAGCCTTAGCTCGCTTTCTGAGCAAACC